TATCATCTTCAATAACAAGGCTGGTTGTGATAGCATTCGTAAAGATTAGTAATATGATAGATATTCAAAGAAATGTCCCTCTGTATTTTGTTATTTTTCCCTCTGGATAACATCTATTAGGTATTTGTTTATGTTCATATGCACAGACATTAATTTCATGAGTCAGAAGAAGTTTTAATGAAGAAGATACCAAGTGATGAGAGGAGAGTAAAATGACTTTTGCCCCAAAACTCTCACTTAGATAGTTTTTAGCCTCCTGGAGAAAAAATGTGGACAAAGAGCTGAAGGGAATCTATAAGCCTCAAGCACAAGAAGAGGTATTTCATGGACCCTGGTAGCCCAGTAAGCATAAGCTTCAGATAGAAAGGCAGATTCTTCTGACCACAACTCACCAGTATCTGTATGACTTATGCCTTGAGGATAGAATATTTCATAGTACTGGAGAGAACATCATCATGAATTTGTTGCCAATCATTATTTATAGGCACAACTAGACACACAGTAACCAAAAAGAACAGCACAATTTATAGACTCTTGTGAAGAATCTCTCATTCGACTTCCAGGATTATTTTGGGAGTGGGAATAACATTGAACTTGTAAAAATTTGCTAAAAAACATTTGATGTAAGGGAAAAGTTAAGGAGTTCAATTTTATTTTCTTGTTTTTTTTTTTATAGTCATATTTTTGGTGGGGAAACAAGGCCTTGCTATGTAGTCCAGGCTGTCCTGGAACTTGCTATACAGCCAAAGCTGGCCATGAACTGATGATTCTCCTACCTCCACCTCTGCAGTGATGGGATTATATGCATGAACCACTGCATCCAGCCTATTTTTAGTTAGGCTCTTCCTTGCTATGATCAAACACTTGAGAGAAACAATTTAAAGGTGGAGAAAGGACCTGGAGTATAGCTCAAGTGGTAGAGTACAGGCCCTGAGTTCCAGTTTCTTTACCATTAAGGGGAAAAAAAGGATAAAAGACATGGGCATATGCCTCTATCCCAGCAACAGGCAAGGTGGAGGCAGGAGTATCATGCAAAAAGGTAGTGAGACCCTAGCTCAAAAACAAAATGCAAAGGAAAGAGTTGCAGGTGTAGGTTAAGCTGTAGAACGCTTGTCTGACATGCTCAAGGCTGAGTTCAATCCCAAGTATTGCAAATAATAATAATAATAAAAGAAGAACACTAAAGGAGAGAGGATGCATTTTGGCTCAACATTTCAGTTTTCAACCCATAATTGGTTTGCTCCATTGTTATGGACCTGTGGTCATCAGATCATCATGGTGGCAAGAGCATGGTAAAAGAAAGGAGGGCAGGAAGCAGAGCAAAGATAGGAAAGGGACAGGGACAAAATTGCTTTCAAAGACACACGTCTAGTAACCTATTTCCTCCAACCAGATCCCACCTCCACCTCCTCCCAATAATGTCATCAAAGGATTAATCCACTGGGAAAGACAGAGTCTTATAATCCAATGACTGGAACAACCAGCTATGGACCAAACCTTCAACACATGAACCTTTGGAGGGACAGTTCATATCCAAACCAAATAATATGTGATATGGAGATATCAGCAGATTATTTTAGTGGAAACTTTCAGTAAGTGTAATTGTGATTTGAATTAAGAGCATAGAAACAGATATGTTGGGAGAATGATGGTTGGAGCTACACGGAGATACTACTAAATAGGTAAAGTATGCAGAAGAAAGCAGATCCAAGATGGAATTCTGAAGAACACTGACACTGCTATAATTTCTTAAAATACACTTTTATCTCAGTTTTAAAAAAAATAATGTGATTGAGAATTGCTTAAATTATTTGAAGCATTGTTTCTTCATAAACACCAATTAAGTTTTTAGCTACATGGTGTTTGTCTCTTTAAAATTTGTGAGGTTACTGTGTAGCAACTTTCCCAAATATATTTTAGGCATTAGTTTACTCTTGGAAGCCTAGGTTTGGGGTCTGGGAAGGTCCCTATTTAAAAGAAAAATGGGGTAAAATCAAATATTGTATGCTCTCTCTTCATTTATTTCTTCCCCCAACCCCCACTACAATAACATCACACACCAAGTGCAAGAATTCTTGCAACTTTTAACCTCTATGCTCTTTTTTGGGAATTTGAAGAATTCTGATTGCCTAGGCTGGCCTTGTATGATTCTCAAGTTACATGAAAGGCCTTCCCACAATATTGTAAATTAATCATAAATGATGCTAAAAGAACAGTACAGACAGTTTTATTCAAATGCAGAATAAATTTGCAAATTGGGAAATGTAAGTTCAGACAGAACAATCTCCCCATCAAGAGAAGTGGGGTTTGGGCTTTTATAAGTAGAAGTGGGTACAGTGACTCAGCACTCTTTGGGGAAGAAAAGTAGAATTGAGCTATTATCAGAGTTTGGAAACTGATGCAAATCAGTGTGACTGTAAATTTTGTAAATTCATTGGAATGCCCAGGTGAGGAGGTAAACTGATTAATAATCTTCTATACCTCAGACCTTACAATGTATTGTTGCATTCTGGAAAACCAGTGGATTCAGTTCCTAACTGAATCTGTATGGCAAACTGTCACAAATCTATAAGCCTCAGAGAAGGATTTTTTTTCTCTCTTTTTGAGCATTTTGTAGCCATTTCATTTTTATCACTAGGTGCTTAAAATTAGTTTAGCACACAACACATAACCATACAGCAGATGCAAAGATTAATATTACAGAACAAATCTGGATGCTTCAAAATGACCATTTTTTCCAGTTACTTGGTGCTCTGGGACCTCCAATGTCCATTAGAACACTTTCTAAGAAACTGGAGTCAGTACATTGATACAGTTAAATTCTTTCTAAAGACACTGAAAATTTAGAACTCTTCTGAATATTGGGGAGAACTTTAGTCTACAGATTTAAATATGTTATTTAAATTATGTAAATTCTAAGAAATATTTGAAGGAATAAGTTTAGCATACTTGAGGAAAATTTCTGGAGATAACCTTTGAGCTAAGTAATATTTTGGAATGCAGAATCTCTGCATTTAAGTTTCTTTGTGTAATTGGGAAACATATCCGGCATATTTGGAGATGCTTTTTACCAGCTTTACATTTCAACTACAGACTTGAAAATCACTAGACTCCCCAGACCTATTTACTCTTGGTTCCAGTGTGGTGAAGAGCTCAGTGCTGGAGTCAGAAGAACTTATGTTAAATCCTGACTTCAGAAATTATTTCCAGAATTCTTCTGATAAAGTTGTTTAAACTTTCTAAGACTTAGTTTCACACTCTGTATAGTGGGAAGAAAAATCACCAAATGTATTCAGCAAAGTTTGAAGTGGACAAAACAAACTGTTAGTGCTTAAGAAACATTTGATGAATATTAACTATCACTGTCAATAATACCTTCTATTCTGCTTTTTTTTTGTTTTGTTTTGTTTTCACAATATGCTGTGACTATTTTAGATGACTTGGAAAGTGCTGATTATAAGAAAAAAGAAAAAACAAGAAGTAGAGGCCAGCTGAGGAAAAAGTTAATAGGAAAATACATCAATAAATGAAAAAGTGTAAGGGGCAAAAATAGTCACTCTTTTGTTGAAAATCAAGTCATGTTATAAATTTTCCACTGAAGAATGGAAATAGTCAATGATGGCATGAAACAGCTCTTTGAAAGTTGTGATCTCAAATTGAGGTAATTATACTTTAAAATATCTCATTATTCGTACGTGTTAATATGAAAATTACATACTAATGTATTTCTTTTTCATATACATGCCCTACTTCTACTATCTTGTAAAAGAAAATGCAATTTTCTGTTAGTATTTTGACATCTTCAGCCTAACTTTAAGGCCTGCAGTGGAGTGCTCTAAAATTAGATTATATAATTATTCCTTTCTTGTTTCTATTTTTTGGGTGGACTAGAAGGGTATATTTTTAGTCATATTCTATGAGCAAAATCCTCTGGCAGGACATTGAGAATAATAGCATGCAGTTTTAAACACAAAGTTAGTCTGAAATAATTTATTTTTTCATGTGCTATAGCCTTTTGACACAGAGTGGCACAATCTGACAACCATGTGGCTTGTCATCCAAAGTGCATGTTCTTAGGAAGTGACATAAAATGAACCTGAAAATGAATCCTAGGTCAGAAATTGTCATATTCTGAAAGGCGCCTAGCATAGAGGGAAATTTTGTATTCTCCTAGACCTGTAACCTAATACCTAGGTTATATCTATCACCATCATTATGTTCTGCTTTCCCTTCCTGGCTGCTTACTATTCAAGTATGCCTCATGCAGTTTCATTGTCTGTGGAAAGGCACTATAAAAACTTTATCATCTGCAACAAAACTCTCTTTTCAAAAGCTTGAATTATTTCCTTTTCCCTTTCTTTCATTGTGCTTCTTGAACACTTTCTGTATAAGAGCAGTCAAACCTATCATAAAGCACTTTGTTTATGCCCATCAAAATACACTCTTTAGAAGAAGCCATAACCTTGGCAAGTCTGCTCCTTTTTGATGCTGCACTGAGTCTTCAATTCAGACTTTTATTTCCCTTAAGGATCTACCATCACTTATCTTTTTGTTTTCTTTTCTCTTCCATTATTTAGAACTTGGTTTCCAAGGCTTTGTTATTTTTGGACCAGCAGCATTTGGAGGGATTTCACTTACTCTGGACAGTAAATGTGTAATATTCATCCTGTTTACGAATCCCAAGATGATAAATAGCTCACTAACTCCTGCTGTCTTTCACATAGTTTCTTGCCCAGGAGTTCATGATTTACTTGACAGACACTATTTTACTTTCACTTTTCAGTATCTTTGCTTTGTGATCATTTTATTCCATTAACTGTCTCTGATTCTGCCACTCTGAGAAGGTTGTATTTGTATTACTTAAAATAATGACTTATCATCATCTGATGTCGTAATGATTTATGCTTATCTTCTTGGTAACTCCCCCTCCTAATTATTTGCTTACCTTGTTCATAAGTTGTTTGAATATAAGTAATAATATTACTACAGGGGGGCAGAGCCAGGGTCCTCTGCCGGCTCCGCGTCGGTCTGGCGCTCCAGGCTCTCGGCTCTCCATCGGCCATGGCTCCTAAAGGTGGCTCCAAGCAGCAGTCCGAGGAAGACCTGCTCTTGCAGGATTTCAGCCGCAACCTCTCGGCCAAGTCCTCTGCGCTGTTCTTCGGGAACGCATTCATCGTGTCCGCCATCCCCATCTGGTTATATTGGCGAATATGGCATATGGATCTTATTCAGTCTGCTGTTCTGTACAGCGTGATGACCCTAGTAAGCACCTATTTGGTAGCCTTTGCATACAAGAATGTAAAGTTTGTTCTCAAGCACAAAGTGGCACAGAAAAGGGAGGATGCCGTTTCCAAAGAAGTGACTCGAAAACTTTCTGAAGCTGATAATAGAAAGATGTCTCGGAAGGAGAAAGATGAAAGAATCTTGTGGAAGAAGAATGAAGTTGCTGATTATGAAGCTACAACATTTTCCATCTTCTATAACAACACTCTATTCCTGGTCTTGGTCATTGTTGCTTCCTTCTTTATACTGAAGAACTTCAACCCCACAGTGAACTACATTTTGTCCATAAGTGCTTCATCAGGACTCATCGCCCTCCTGTCTACTGGCTCCAAGTAGACCATGTCAGCTTAGCCCCCTGACTTTGTATCCATGAGTGGCCTGTGGTATATGGAAAAGTAGCAGGGTGGTCAGGGTGGGAGGTGCACAGTGTTTTTAATAGTCTGGAGTTGGAGGGTTTAAAAATGCAACAGAAAGTAATTCAGTATTTGTTTATTGGCTCTTTTTGACAGTGTTGAAATTAAATGAATTGAAAGGGAAACTCAGAGTACCAGGACATTTATTAAAAGGCAAGAAGTCTTGCAATGTGCTATAGTCACAAGAGGAGAAAATAACTTGTTTCCTTGATCTGTCAGAGGTCACAGTAACCTGGACTGAGCTGTTATTACTTATAATAGGAGCAAGAAGCTAATAACTTGTTCTCTGTGTTCCAAGCACAATATTATAACTTTTTTTTGAATTATAAATATCAGAATGAATCCTCTTCTCAGGAGATTGAGCAGAAGCCTCATGTTTACAGGTCTCTGAATTTGCAATTTGTAATAAAGTTAAAAACATAGCTTCATTGACTTGGGGAAGAGAACGTTGTGGAAAAGTTCCTGTTTTTTTTTTTTTTTTTTTAAGAAGAAAGGAGGCAGCCAAGGGTAGTAACCTAAAAATAGTGCCCAGGCCTATGAGAGTTTAAAGCATAACCTGTTCAGCTGAATGGCTCTGGCCCTGGGTGGCCAGGGAGGTCAGCTTGACCCTGCCATATTGGTTTTGATGTGTGAAGTCACTGGGATCTTTGTTTTTCTTTGACCAGGGTCTCAACACCACTGGAAGAATGTTAAGTAAGAGAGAACCTCTTTCTTAGTACTGACATGTAAACAGCCAAAGTAATTTTGTGAACTTAGTTCTGGAATTCAAAGAGCTCTCCAAGGGATTTACAGTGGTTTAAATGCTTGTCTGCATTTTTGCATTAGGACTGTCTCAACTTTGACCCACAAGTTCCCATTGATTATGAACAAAATAGTGATCACATCAGCCCTTGGGTGGGGGGGCCCAGTTAAGATCAGTTTTTTTTTTTTGCTAATGTATGTACAGATACTATAATTTTCTGCGTGTATAATGACTTGAAAAAGTTTGAGAAGCTCTTTATCACTTATGATTTCGGGTTTTATATTCCTATTAGCTTTTGTGACCACATGTAGTAATTTCCTACAGATAGTCCCTAAAGGGAATAGATTTCTAATCTTCAGTCTCCACTTCTAAATTTAAGGTGAATGCTATAAGTGGGGCATTGTTTATTTATAGCTTCTAAAAGAGGTATTCATTGAGAGTGTTCACCTTCTCTTTCTGTGCTATTGGATGTATTGGTGGGCTGCATCAAAGAATTTAGAAGGAAGACTGAGGATGAGAACATTTGCACAGTGACCTAGACTGTCGTTGTCAGTGGTTGAGGATTACATTTTATTATTGCTTCTAGAAGACTTCAATTCTTTGTTTCTTGGGTCTGTTATTATCTGGGTGCCATTGCTAGATAATGTGGAATGAATAAGGAAGTTAGAAGAGATTTCACTGCAAAGTACAGTCAAAGTAACAGAGTTTTTTTATTTTTCTTTATTGATAAAAAAAAAATCAGTGAATAATTTGGTGCCTGGAGTTTGCGTATTAGTGCATTTGCCCACTTGAAATGGTTATCAGCATTGACTGATATTTGAGCTGGTCAGTTACTTTTTCAAATGCTGGTGAAGTCTTGCCACTAGATGGCAGTGTGTGTGTAGATGGGAAAAAGTCATCACTATTCTTGGTACAGTATGTTAGAGCTAAGAGATGGTGAAATAAGTATCAGCTTCAAGTTCTTAATAGAATTCTCTTGAATTAATAAACTAAAATTTTTGTGGAAAAAAAAAAAAAAAATAATATTACTACAACTGCTTATTTATTGGCCCTGACTTTTTCAATATTATTTTCACTTCTCTAAGTTTCCCTGCAAGAATAATTGACAAGAAGCAAAAGTTTTAAGGCATGCTGTTAAAATCAATTTAGTAATAGCAAGGTTATGGTTTGAACAATATTCTCAATATCTTGCTAATTTCTCAGTTTATTCTTTCCATTATAAGACATAGGGATCTATATCTTATGAAAGAAGTAGCATTGATTTTTTAGTGATTTTGAACAACTGACTCAATTTCTTTCTGCCTTTGATCTCACATCTCTCACATAAAATGATATAAAGCTACTTACAAACTCTTTGACATTAATTCAGATTTGATTCTGCAAAAATTCTAGGAGAGCTCAGTGACAATTTGAGATAATTGGTTTCTTTGATTTGAACAGAAATTTTGAGAAACTGACCAAAGTAAGCACCTAAAAGAACCCTTTAAGTAGATCAACACTATTTAGATAATAATGTACTAGTTCTTATATGGATAGGCATATCCTCTAAGTAACATTTATTTTTCTCAGGTTTAGTAAGAGAAGAATTACCTCATTCATCAATCAAAATGAGTTTAGATATTTAATTTTAATGATGATCATTTCCTTGAAATTCAGAAAAAATTAAGGAAATCTATAAAAATTGTTTTGCATTTCCTTGCTTTTAACTATGTAACAACTTCAGTAATAACTTATTGCATATTTATTCTCTTATAATTTTAAAGTTTGATTTTAATGTATAAACTATGAAGGCATCTAAAAAGCATTTGCAATTCACCAAATGTCACTGAATATTTATGACAGGAAATTAGAAGACATTAATTTCTCCCCCTATGCTGATTTTATCCACAATAATAACATGAATAATGTTCATGAGCTGAGTTCTTTTATTAACTCTTAGAATAATGACAAAAAATACCTAATCTAACTGGAGTCTTCCATGTATCATTACATTAAGTATTGTTTGTTTGTTTTTTAATTCACTAATTCATTCACCAGACCATTATTGGACTCTGATCAGAAGCCTAACATGAAGATCAAACATGATAGTAGAAGGAGATAAAACATATTCAGTTAGTCAGATGTAAACATAGCAAAGTCATACTGTGATTAATGTTCTAATACCATTGTGATTTAAAAACAAAAACATCACAATGCCTGCCAAGGAAAGATTATTTATTCCCAACTTTATTAAATAAGTAGAATTTGGCCCAACAAGTTATAATCACAGTCCAAAGTAATAGCAAAGAAGTCTTAAAATGGTGGTCTTGAGTGCTATAAGTATTCTTATTTACAAAACTGAAATATAACATTCATGGGGGAGTTAAGTAGAGGATGAGAATGAAAAAATATTTTGAGAAAATATTGTTCAAAGAATTGATAATCATGCTTTAAAAAATGTATGCTTTGCTTTGATTAAAAAAAAAGAGAAATCCACAGGATATTGGCAAATTCTTAGAAAAACATAAGATGCACTCAGGATTAGGATACTGACAATGTCTTTAGTCTAATTACTCAGGTTCATCAGTAAGTAATTCATATTTTAGGCTTATTTAACTGCCTTCAATTCTCCAGTAGGTTTGTGGCATTATTTGTCATGTTTTGTAGGATTGGAACACTTCTGTGTCTTTCTCCTACTCCATCAAAATTGACTAATTCCTACCCTTCACTTGATTCGAGTATATTGTTAGGTTTTTATAAGTGCTTTAGCAATAACACCATATTTGCCAAACTAATGATGTGCTATATATTCTTCCCTTCTTTCAGATAACAGAAGAATTGAAGACAAGGATTATAGTTGGCTGACTGGTATAAAAATATTCTTCATATAGTGAAGAGGACTGAGATATCACCTTAACAAATTTCTCAGTGTAAACATGACCAATACTTATGGCATATGCACATCACACACCCTTGCCAGGACACACTGAGAAGGCTCATCACTTCTTTGATATCTTGCCTAAAATACATTCCCTAATCTAATTATTAAAAGCCACTAGTTGAATCCAATAGATAAGCATTCCACAAAATAACATCTTTAAAAGTTTCAAGGTCATGAAAGATAAGAAAGACTGAGCAATTGGCATGGATTGGAGGAGAATAAGGAGAGACAACATGTCATATGGAGTTCTAGATTAGATCCTGCAACAGAAAGTATACATATTAAATGGAAAACTGGTAAAATCTGAGGAAAGTCTTTAATGTTATTGCACCAATGTTAATATCTTAGTTATGATTATTGTTCTTTGAGTCTGAAAGATGATAATAGAGAAAACTGGTTGAAGGTTGTACTGAAACTCTCTGTAATAGTTCTGAAAGTTTTCAGTCATGGTGGTACATGCCTGAAAATCTAGCACTTGGGAGGCGAGCAGGAAGATCTCAAGTTTCAGGTCAGCCTGAGCTACCTAGTGAGATTCTGTTTTAAAAACAACAGAGAGAGAGAGAGAGAGAGAGAGAGAGAGAGAGAGAGAGAAACAGGTAAAAGAAACAAATTTGAACTAGAAATAATTATTTTCTATTTCTAAATAGTATTGAATTCTTAATCTATAACTTGCACTGAGTTATGCACTCAGAAATATTTTCATAACAGACATAACAATCACTAAGCTGTCACTTTAGTGTGATATCATTTAATAATCTTCCAATGCAATGCATTTTAACATATTCACTATACTAGATTGATGTACACACACACACACACACACACATATACCATTCTAGCACATTTTAATCAGTGAGGTTTTCATGCTCAGCTGCTATATATATGTGGTCTTACTGCAGTAATCTGTATACTATCAAATTAATAAATATTGTGTAGTGCTAGATGGCAATGATGGAATCATAATATATAAAATCCCATTTCTCAAGGAGAAAGCTATATTGTGTGGCTTTTGCAGATCAAAGGATAAATTTTCTCATAAATGTCAACCATGAAAGTACTCAACAAACACATTCAGTATTATCCAACCATTGTGTGAAAAGCAAACCAAGACACGATTTCAGTCTTCAAGACATTGCTTTTTAAAGCAATGATCCAAAATACTTTCCAAGGGCACAGAACATTTTGAAAATAATCCTCAAGAGAAAAGAAGCCAAAACAATATCTTTTGTGATAGTCAAAGAATCATATCTCCAGATTCAAAAGGACTTAGAAAATGTCTGTAATGTTTCAAAGTTCAGATTTATTAATGATTCTCTCTTATTCTAAGCTACTTGGATGGTTTGGTTTTTCTGACTATAACATGTGTAGCACAGCTTGTGAAAGCTAAAGGTCACTCTCTGTGTTGTTTCATTGCCACAGACTTGCTGACAAATACAATATTGTATACAGATTTAAATATTCCATTAGCTATGGCAGGAAAAAAGGTTAACACAGCATTTTAGAATTGGAAAAAAGGTTGAAATTACCTAGATCCTTTCCCTATATGTCATAAATTGTAAAGGCAATTGTATGTTTTTTCTCAGTTTCAACTTCCACTTCTCATAGTATTGTATAGTTTTCTTGTTCTTTCCTTTAAACTATACCACTCATGTAAAGTCTAGTATCTCTACTCTTATAAGTCAAATTAAAGTCTTTTCAGCTAGTAAAGGGTAGAATTTGAGAGATAAGTCCAATTTGCATTCTGTGAGACTTCTTGTGCACTTTTCTATATGACTCCCTTATACAAAGAAAAGGGTTTAGTGTCTCTAAAAGCAATCTTTAAAAGAAAAAAACATGCTGTCAGCATCTGTGAATGTCAAACCTACTTTTCATACAACTATTTGAGTATCATAGTTTCTCTCTCTCTTGAAGTATCCCTATTTCTTAGATCACCATCTTTCTCATCCATTAATTGGTTCAACTGCCATTAATTCAAGTTGCTTCATTTAATACATCTCATAATTGTTCCTAAACATTTTGTCCTATTTTCTAATTTTCAAAGCATAAATTCTTGGTGTTACTTCTGCCTTTGAAACTACCATCACCAGACTTCATTCATTAGTGATTTATCTTTATATTTTATATATATGTGCTGAAAAATTATCTTTTAAATAAATAAAGCTTGACAAATTACAATTATATTTTTACATTTCCATTTGTAAATAATTATTAAAATATTTGGTAATAAGTCCAAAGACTTTTAATTAGAACTTTAAAATATTTGAATTTGTACAATTCCTTGCTAACAAATATTTGGTGCATTTTTTTCAAATTAATTATAAATGTGCCCACCAAACCTACTCTAAATTAAGGCAAATAATTAGAAAGTAATTTGAAAATGAGAAACATGATCAGAATCTTCAGTACCATTTATATTTTGTATCTTTTATTAAGAATGCATAGTTGTGAACTTAGCATGGAGGAATATGCCTGTAATCCCATCTACTCAGAAGGTAAAAGCAGGAGAATCATGAGTTTGAGGCCAGTCAGGGCACTGGTAGCAAGACCCTGTCTCAAAACAAAATGAAAGGAAAAGGGCCAAGGGCATAGCTAAAGTGGTAGAGAACTTGCTCAGCATGAATGAGGCTCTGGGCTCAATCCCCAGTACTGTAAAAAAAAATAAAATAAAATAACAAAAAAGATGTAATTGTGCCAAGCATAGTGGCTCACATCTGTAATCCCAGTATTTGGGAGACAGAGGAAAGAGGATAATGAGTTTAAGACCAGCCTGGGCTACCAGCAAATTCAAGATCAGGTTGAGCTACACAATCATATCTTATTTTAAACTTCTAATGGCCAGGGATGTAGGTCCATAGTAGAAAGATTGTGTATTATGCCCAAGGCCTTGAAATCGATGCCACAATAAAAATCCTGTATACTGTGTTTCTATAATTTTTGTGCCACATTGTTACTCATATACTTTCATAATTACTATCATTATTCACACATTTTAGAAAGCAAAGTAACATACATAGTTCTCTTAATATTCTCCAATAACAGAAGACATTTATCTGCTCAGCATCTTGAAAATCAAATTAAGA